GTGACTCCATACAAGATACTCTTGAATATTTCTTGGCAGAGTGCAAAATATAATCATGCTGGCTGTCTGCTCTTAGCATCTCTGGAGAAATTAGTGAAGGAAAACAACGAGCTCAAACCTGCACAGGAAATCTGAAGTCTTCTGACTGTGAGGACAAATTCATCAAGGAAAATAAGGAGCTCAAAAGTTCCCAGCTCCAGACATAAATAAGTAAATGTTTCTAAGCGTGTCTTGAAAGGGTCTCTCTCCTCATTTAGCCACAGGGTTGAGATGGCAGAAAACCAAACATAGGCCCTCATAACTTGAGTGGCTGAAATGCAGTCTAAGTTTAATGCTTGGCCTTGAATGGTTTCTGAAGTGAGTATCTGATCCGGAAGGAACGGGATCCCGTAAACTGGGATGGAGACGTTTGGGAGGATCCTGATGAGGCTGAGGATGTTGAACTTCTAAACTCTAATAAGATTACTTTGCCAGGGGAAGAGATTCCTACACCCACAATGGCAGAGCCATCCCCACCCCACCCCCTATGGTGTTGGCCTCTCCTCCTATACCTGGGGAAACTAATCCTGTGCTGACCAACCAGGATAACATGGACACTCCTCGGGACCCACCCTCACCACCCACTTTTGCCTCTAGGTCTATAACCAGGCTCAAATCACAGAAGGCTCCTAAGGCTGAGGGGTACAGTGTGACTCACGGGGAGGTCCTCTATTCTCCCAGAGGACTTGAATTTTCTCTTATAAGCAGGGGCCTGGAGAGCAAGTGTGGGAAGATTTACGGGTATGGAATAATAGTGGCAAAAACATACACCTGGCTCAGGCTGAGTTTGTCAATAGGGGCCCGTTAAGCAGGGCTTCTGAATTTAATGTTGCAGCTCATGGAGTAAAGAAAGGCACTAGTGGTTTATTTGGTGGGCTGACAGAAGTACAGATCGAAAGTGGCCCACTGTGAATGAGTTAGAGCTGCCTGCTATTCCACGGTTTCGTGCCGATGAGGGGATTCAGTGGCTCGGTAATATGGGAGTGGATTTGCCAAGTTAAATAGAATCTTCCACACTTGGATGACTCAGAAAATGTACCGTTCACTAACTCCTTGAGAAACAGGTTAGTGAGGGGAGCGCCAGCACCCCTGAAAAGCCCTCTCATTGCTCTTCTGTGTATCCCAGACCTTACAGTGGAGATCACTCAACTGGGGCATTTAAGGGCAGTGGGCTTGGTTGGAACCTGGAGTGGCAGGGGTCAAGCGGCAGCACTTGATCACCAAAGGCAGGGTGCACACACCTGATGGACAGCAGAAGCAGAACAGTGACCGGGATAGTCCGACACATGCAGACCTATGGCATTGGCTAACTATCCATGGTGCTCCCAAAAGTGAAATAGAAAGTCTACAAAAATTTTTACTAGATTTATAGAATCGAAAAAATGTAAAGGCAAATAAACAGAAAGCTACTTCAAATTGTAGTAACAAAGAACCATGGCCCCTCAACCAGTCCCCAGATTTGAGGAAGTTTATAGACCCAGAACCCCTTGAGTGAAGGGGAGGCCAGGTCTCCTTGAGAAAAGACCTGATGCATCATGAAAAATTTATACAGTTGATCTTCCTCCCATCTGTCCCCAAAGGGAGCTAAGGGCTTTGACCAGGGTAACGGTACGCTGGGGAAACGGAAATGATCAGGCACTTCAGGGACCACTGGACACTAACTCTGAGCTAATGCTGATTCTAGGAGTCTATGGAGTCAAGTGATCCCTGGAGTTTTGGCAAAGGTCCGACTCACAGGGGGCCCACCAGGTCCTCAGATCCATCCTGTAGTCATATCTCCTGTTCTGAAATGCATAATTGGGATAGATATGCTTAGTACTTGGCAGAGTCCTCACACTGGTTCCTTAACGTGCAGTGTAGGGGTATTATAGTTGGATAAGCCAAGTGGAAGCCATTAGAGTTGCCTTTGCCTGGTAAAATAGTAAACCAAAAACAACACTGCATTCCTGGAGAAATTGCAGAGATCAGGGCCACTATCAAGGACTTGAAGGATGCAGAGGTGGTGGTTCCCACCACATCTCCATTTAATTCTCCCATTTGGCCTGAGAACATGAATGGGTCTTGGAGAACGACGGTGGGTTACCATGAACCGAATCAAGCACTGACTCTGATTGCAGCTGCTGTACCAGATGTGGTGTCCTTGCCTCAGCAGATTAACACATCTCCTGGTACTTGGTATCACCTATTGATTTGCAAATGCCTTCTTCTCCATGCATTTCCATAGGACCATCAGAAACCATTTGCTTTCCGCTGGCAAGGCCAGCAATACACCTTCACTGCCCTGCATCGAGGTTGTATTAACTCTCCAGCCCTGTGTCACAACTTAATTCGCAGGGATCTTGATTGCTTTTCTCTCCCACAAAGCATCACACTGATGCATTCCATTGATGATACTGTATTATGCTGACTGGACCAAGTGAGCAGGATTTGTTAGAAAGCATTTGAGGGGCTGGGGATTTAGCTCAGCAGCACAGCGCCTGCCTGGCAAGCACGAGGTCGTGAGTTTAATTCCCGGTACCGGAAAAAAAACAAAAAAAAAGAAAGCATTTGAGAGCCAGAGGAGGAGAAATAAATCCAACTAAAATTCAAGATGTTTATATCTCAGCAAAATCTCTATGAGTCCAATGGTGTGGGGCCTGTAGAGATGTCCCTTCTAAGGTGAAGGATAAGTTGCTGCATCTGGCTCTCCCAACAACCAATGTCTAGTGGGCCTACTTGGATTTTGGAGCTAACACATTCCTCATTATTTATTTTACTCCGGCTCATTTACTGAGTGACTCAGAAGCTGCTAGTTTTGAGTGGGGCCCAGAACAAGCAAAGGCTCTGCAACAGGTCCAGGCTGCTGTGCAGGTTGCTCTGCCCCTGGGGCCGTGTGGTCCAGCAGACCCAGTGGTACTTGAAAGGGCAGTGGCAGGTAGGGACACTGGAGTCTCTGGCAGGCCCCATAGGTGAACTGCAGCAAGGCCCTTAGGATATTGGAGCAAGGCTCTGCCATCATCTGCAGAGAACTACTCTCTCTAAAAAACAGCTTTTGGTTTGGTACTGGGCCTTAGTGGGAACTGAATGCTTGACCATGGGACACCAGGTCACCATGGGACCTGAGTTACCCATCATGAGCTTCTCTTCTCCTTTCTTTCTTTTCTTTCTCCTTTCTTTCTCTCTTCCTTTCTTTTCTTTTTCTTTTTCTTCCTCCCTTTCTTTCTTTCTTTCCTTATCTCTCTTTCATTGCAGTACTGGGGATTGAACCCAGGCCCTTTGCACTGACTACATCCCTATTTGTTTGTTCAAGACAGGGCTTCCCTAGGTAAGATGCTGAGGATGGGTTAAGACTTGTGATCTTTGTGCCTCAGCCTCCCAGAGTGCTGGGACTGGAGACATGTACAACCACGCTCAGCTTGAACCTTACTTTTTATGACCCTCAGCAGCATTGGATGAAGCAATGACCCCTCTGTCTGCTTTATAAGACACCATGGTTCCCTGGCTTCCTCTCACCTCCCTGTCTGTCGCTTCTTGGTCTCCTTGCCATGTTTTCCTCTCTGCCAGTCTTTCAGATATTAAGTTTTCTCTAGGGTTCTGTCCTCACCCCATTTTTTCTCCTTTACTCTTCCCCTTGGAGGGTCTTCCACTGCTGAGAAGGAAAGGACCTGCATTCTGTGCTGTCCCTGCCCCTGGGATACCTGGCAGAGAAGTGTGACCAGAAGAAAGCACCTTAGAGTCACACAGCGCTCTTGGAAAACACACTCCTGGTATTTTTCAGCAGATTGTCCTTTGCTACAGGGGCTATTTAGCAAGGGGCACCTGGTCTACCCAATACTGCTTATGGCAAACAAACCTGGGATCTGTAGGTGCGAGGGCACAGTGCTGTGGAAAGTATCAGGAGAACCATGCCCTTAACTGGGAACGAAGTGGAGCCGTTTCTGACTGAAGCAGCTCTGCCTTGCTAGGCAGTGTTGCAGCAGCCAGGGTGTGGACACCGTCTGTGTTAAAAACCAGGCTACAGCTTGTCGTCTTGCTGCCGCAAGGACCCGGCCAGCAGCCCTGGCAGCCCTGGGCTTTGCCATGCACTGCCTTTCCCACATCCTTGAAATGATTGAGAAAATGAGATAGCGGCTAAGAGATCAGATTCCTGAATCTGGTTTGACATTTTGTCCCTTGTCCCTTTATAAGTGACTGCAGCCCCGGCTCCAGACCGTGTGTTCAACAGCCTGCTAGACATCTCTACTGCATGTGCCACTGAGGCTTATCTGAGCTCGTCCTCTCCTCTCCTGCCCTGCCCTGTGGCCGTGGCACCAGAAGGTCTACCCCACAGTGCATCACCAGCATCCGGGTACAGAGCAAGCGGAGCTGGGGCTGCCCGCACGCCTGCTCAGGTTGAAAGTGCTGCACGCTCATAAATCCCGCCAGGCTCTTCTGCCACCCATTGGTAGGATGCAGTCTAATGCCCTGGGAAAAGCCCTCGGGTTACAGCATGCAGCAGTGAGGCCAGGCCCCTTGGTATCAGGAAGAACTCATCCAGTTTCATCCTTGGAACCAAACTGTAACACTGAGAATTTCCACAGCTCACAGTTAAACATCTGCTTCTTTTAGCATCGTACAATGCCAGAGCATAAGGAAGTACTCAAAACAAGGCAGAAAGCCAGGCGTGGTGGCACTGCACGCCTGTGAGCCTAGCACTCAGGAGGCTGAGGCAGAAGGATCATGAGTAGGAGGCCACCTTGAGTTACACAAAGAGACCCTGTTTCTCTAAACAACACATAAACGTCCCACCGATGTGAGACGTCAGAGAGGTACAGGAGCCAGCTGAGAGCTGCCGTGGCCAGGGCTGGAGCAATTGGAGCAACAAAATACACAAAACAGCTTTGGGAGTTGGTATAGGGATCCACACCTCTAACCCCAACACTGTGGGAGGCTGAGGCAGGAAGATCCCAAGACTGAACCCTGCCTGGGCAACTTGGACCAGCTTTGGTGAGGGACTTGCACCTGTTTTATTACCAGTTGAAAACAGCTCTGACCAACAGGCAGGGCAGGAGACAAGGCAGGAGCCAGGGTGTGGGGCTTGCTGGGGTTCTGGAGTTCTGAGGCGGCTGATTTGGAGAATTCCTCATTTCCTTAAGACTGTAGGGCCTTCCCTCCAGCTGCGTGACGTTCTTGATCCAGCGGACGTATTTGGCCAAGAGGGTGTATATTCCTGGGGTGTCCTTCTGCCCACAGCTCTTGCCCCAGCTGATAATGCCCACCTGGTACCACTTACTGCCCGAGTCATCTGTGGTGCAGACAAGGGGTCCCCCGCTGTCACCCTGAGGGCAGAGAACACAGGTCAGTAGTCAGTCCCTCCCTCAGCTGGCCTCTGATGCCAGGCGCAGCGCAAGCACGGACGAGATCCACCTTCTTCCCTACTCCAGACTGCCAAAGCAACTCCCTTCAGCGCCAACCAGCACCGCCCCAGCCTGGCACCGTGGGGGCGCATGCTGTGGTCAGGCTGGCTCAGCACTGTGGGAGGTAGCACAGAGCTGGGCACGGGCCAGGCTGCAGAGGGAGGAGGAAGAGGGGGGCTTGGTGAGCGAAGCCAGCACCTCTGCAGGGGTCTCCTCAGCCAGAGGCTCTGGAAAGGGCAGGAAAGGAAACGGACACAAGGAGCCTCCCTGGGGTCACCAGCAGGGGCCTCCTGGGTGCTCTTCCAGGGACCTGGGGGAGAACGACCTTCCCTTTTCAATTCTTTGCTGTGGTGCTTGCAAGGGACATGTGGCTGAGCTTCCCAGAATGCGAGGCCGCCCTGTGGGTCCCGCCTCACGAGGAATCCGAGGATATGCACCGATGCGCATGTCCCTGCCGTGCACCACACCCACTGCCGCTGGCTTCCCTTCGTCCTTTTCATGGAGGGGGACAATGAGCCTCAAGGGGGAGAGAGGGCTTGCCGAGGTCCCACAGGCACCAAGCCCGAGCAGGGAGCCGGTGTTTTCTGGCACCAAAGCCCTTACTCACCCTTTCAACCTGGTGACACTGTTCTCGCACCTGAGAAGCGACAGCATTGCCAGAGGTCTTTCTCTAGGGAGAGGAGCCCTCCCCATCCGTGACCGCACATGGTGACTGCAGCGACGGGTAGTGTAAAGGACTCCAGCAGGGGAGGCAGAGAAGGACATCTTCTCATCTCTGTGTGTTCTTACCCTGATTCTCATTTTGAAATTACTTAGTTCAGGACCAGAAGAGTTTGAACACTCACAAATCTTCACCGAGGAAAACCAATGGCCAGGCCTAGGGGATGCTGGTCCAGCAGGGAGATGCCCTGGAACAGGCAGGAGGGCGTGTGGGACAGGACAGGAGGGTGTGGCTGAGTCGCAGAGGCATGTGGGAGAATGGAGGGTTCAGCAAAGGTCTCCAAGCGCGGGGCCGTGGAGAAGAGGACCCTGGCAAGGAGCATGTGGGGGCTGCTTCGGGGGAGTCAGGCAGGAGGTGGGAAGGCGACAGGTTAAGAGGGGAAACCATGAGAGTCAGAAGCAGGGCGTGAGAATGCTGGGAGAGGGAGATGGACAGGGCGGACACAAGTTGGTGACGGTCACAAATAGGCATTGGACAGTGAGGACGAAATCCAGGATCACAGGTGACAGAAGACAGCGGCAAAGTACAGGGGACAGAAATGAGCGGGCCTATTTGAGCGCAGTTTAGCACCATCACGGAACACATCTCTGAGCAGAAGGGCGTGGGTCCACCCGTGAGGGCCGCCTCTGCTCGAGGACAGCCAACCAGCTGACCCTTTACAGTCCAGAATGTTACCTCTCTCACTTACCTGTTTGTGTGGGTGTGTGTTGTGGGCGTGTGAGTTATGGGGCAAGAACATGATCAGCTGCCTCCCACTCATTTCACTTGTTCCATGAATGTAGTTTTTACAATTTTTCCTTCTTATGAAGGAATAAATGCTATAAACATCTTCTAAAATGTTGCATTTATTACTTATTTCCACACATAATGGAGGAAGAACCATTTACAGCAGGGATCCCCAAGTGTCTGTAGCCTGTTAGTGGCAGGTAAAACATCTGTATTTCCAGCTTCTCCCCATCCCTCAAATTACTGCCTGAGCTCCACTTCCTGTCAGATCAGTGGCAGCTTTTAGCTTCTCATGAGCATGCAAACCCCACTGTGAGCCATTCATGCATGGAATCGAGGCTGTGTGCTCGTAATGAGAATCCAGCGCCTGGTGATCTGAGGAGGAGCTGAGGCGGTGATGCTAGTCCTGGGGTGTGGATGGAAATGCAGATAAACATTAGCAGAGAGGTCTGACTCCACAGAGACCATAGCAAATCAACTGTTTGGGGACTCATGCCAAAACCCCAGTGGGGTCAGGTAAGTAAAAAGCTGTATCTCCTGGCAGACT